ATTATAATTCTAACTAGTTTGTTTCATTCATTAATTTATTATTATAATAATCTAATAAACAATCAATTCATAAATATTGAGAAAAAACTTTTTTATTTATTTGTTTATCAATCATTCAATTACAATTATGAATGGTAATAGTAATAGTAATAGTAATAGAGTTGGAATAAATTTATTACATCCCCAAGAGTAAACACTTTTTTTTCGATATTCTTGGAAAAAAATACATAAATATGTTCTTTGACATTAGTTTCATAACGCAAAATAAAAAAAATCATTTTAAAGTACAAAAGTATAGTACCATTTTTTTATACAAAGTCGTCAATTAGCAAAAATTTGTGACATTTCCTGAAAATAAACCAGGAATCATTAAAGGGAGAATGCACAAATGAATTTGTAAACTAGATTTAATATCAAAAATATTGAACGCCTTTATTTTTATTCTGTCCAGCAGCAATAGATCGATCTTTTTTACAACATTTAGAACATAAATTATGCAATCTAAACTTTATTTTTCAAAAAGTTTTTTAATTACATTTGGATTTGGTAATGGTATCAATCACTACTTGAATGCTTCAGAGCCTCGAGAACGTCTGCAATTTCATTCCCTTCTTCGCCCATTAGATTAATTATCATAGGAATGCATCAAGTTGCGTTATCATCAGATTTCTCCGAATTCATTTTTTATATTAAAAAAAATCGGAATTTAATACGTGTGTGTATAGTAAAAGTTCCATCTGGATTATTCGCATAAATAAAAACGTTTGCTTTTTTTAAACGGAAAGATTTCATATTTAATACTGTAGACATATCAAGATAATGATATCATAATGATATAGATCAAAATATAAAATTTATATATAATGATATAATAATAATTGATCGCCTGATTGAAACCTGTCTTTTTAAGCGAATTATCATTCGCTACATCGCGTATAACTAGGATGTTTCTAATCAAGCAAATATTCAATGAATCTTAATATTAATATTGTTGTTATTGTTGTTGCAAATCATACGATGTTATTTTGTATTTTTTCCACATTTATCAATCTACAATAAAATTCTAGTTTTTTATTGCAAAATATCAAGATAAAATTTTAAGAGTGCAAAAATTAGAATACTAGGGACTGCCAAGTAGCTTTTAGCCTAAATCTCTGAATACTTCGGTTCGAACCGAACTGGATTTTTCGAAACCGAACCGTTCGGAGCTTTAGTGATGATCGTATTATGATCTGAGTTGTACGGTTGCGTAGGATATTTCTGTAATACAAAAGACCACTGATCAAGTTATTGGATATCCAACGAAGACCAATTCTTGAGGCGTCTCTTCTACTCTTATAAGTTGGTGATTTTATTCCATTACAGATATCATATATGTCAATGAAGTTTAATTTTTCTATTTCTTCTATGAGTTTATATTGGTATGGTATGGCTCTATTGCAAATTTATTTTTATTTTTGTAAGTTTTCCAGATGAAATATTAAAATTACTCATTGCTATAAAGTCAAATTTTTGGAATCACACACCTCTTTTTCTATCTTTAAGGTCTATATTGGCAATCTCAAAATCTAACAGATGATTAGACAAGATGGTATGTTTTGGAGGTTCATAACCACTGCATAAAGATTTGTAAAATCACAGAAGAAAGGTGAATCTGTAACACTAAAAGGAATTCCACACAAAAAAAAACGAACCATTTCTTGATTTGCTCTTGAAATTTTTGTGCATCTATTCTATCACTGTCAGAATAAGAATGTAGATCTATATTATTTCCATTATTTCCTTTTTACCTTTTATTTGCAGATTCTATATTATCATCTGATTTAATTAATCTTAAGTATTTTAATTTTACTTCTCTATTAACCAATGAGCATTTCAGAGCCAAATGCCCTTTCAAGTCAGAAGCTTCCATGGCTTGAAGCAAAATTTACTTTGTGCTGACAGGTGAGGATCATGTGTAATTTCTGTTGCATTAAAATAATTACATACTGAATCTCTAGATTTACCTCCTTGTCTAGAATTTCCAGTACTTGTATTAATTTCAGAAATTGACAATTTTTCTATTTCATCAGCCTGTTTATCAAAGTGTAATTTAATAATAAAAACAGACATAATTACTTTTAAAAAATAATGATTCTTCGCCATCTTCACAAGCGAACATTAAAAAATATAATTATATATATATATTACGTGTAAAAATAATTATTCGATGGTGTGACGAAAATCTGATTGGTTAATATGGGACATGGGATATTGGATGGGAGATGGGGGATTGGGTTGATCTCAAAGCCCCACCCGCCCATACCCAATGGGATTGGGGATTGCTCCATATTCCATAGTATGGGCGGCAAGCATATTCATTACTATTATGTAATAATTGTTATTAATTGCTTGTTTCATGATGTTAATTATATGTCTAATCTTTTTTTCTTCATGCTTATTTTTGCAACTTTTAAATGTCACCATTAATTATATATAATGTTATTGCTAGTTGATGTTCTTTCGTTGTTATTATTGTTGCCTGTCATAATTGAGGGTATGATGTAGATGTATCTTCTACAGCATGATGCCCTTGTACATTAATGAATCCTTCTTTTAGGTATAATTGATTATTATGGGAACTTGATTGTTGAAATGTTGTGAGAAAATTATTGATTTTTCAGACATTTCATCAACTTGAATTAGTAAATTTGTTTGTGTAATTTTAATGTTATTAGTTTCATCATTTTTTTGTTTGTCTGTTTCATTTGATTCATCTTCACTTGATGAATCCTTACGAATTTGAAATTGGTTCCTTAAAATTTTCATTTCTGCATGATCTTGATATCATTACTTGGATGATGCAATTCACAGTATTTATTAATTGTAAAAAGGATGACATTTGAATTGAATTAATACTGATACTGCTGGATAAATATTATTATTGATTTTTGGTGCCTTCATTTTTGCTTAATTTAGTTTTATTGATTTTACTACTGGTTCCAAAAAATGTAAGCATGGGATCAAATGAAATTGTAATTGTAAATGACAAATTGGTAAATTATCATGAAAGTTATAATTATTTTAAAGAACGCCTTGATAAGTTAATGTAATGAAATGGATGAGCCACATTTGATCCTTCTATCATCCAAATGCCATTTATACTACAGGTCATAATCTTTCTCAACTATGAATTCCAAATAAAGTGACAATTATTGATTATCAATAATTTTAAACAAATATATATTAATATATATGATTATCATTTGTGTCGATCAATTCAATTCAATTTTTCATTTTTACGCGAACGAAGAAATCACAAAATTTGTAAAGATGCTTCTTTTTATGCATAAGAATGATATGTGAAATATTCTTATGATTTAGATAGAAAAAATCAATTATTTTAATTATTTATTATTATTATTAAGAATGAAAAAAAAAAACCTTGTATGTATCATAAAAAATTTTCATCGGAAGTTTAAAAAAAAGTTTAATTCTTTTTTTTTTACTTTTTGTTTAACTTTTGTCATGATTTTTGATTTACTAACCTAAAAAAATATTTTCATCATTGAAAAAAAATTCATTCTTCACCAAAAATTAATTTCTTTCTAAACAAAAAAATTAAAAATGGAAGAAAAAAACGCAGAAAATATTACTTTGATTCTTAAAGAAATTCAAGAATTAAAATCAACTACATTAAGCATTTTACCAAAACTTCAATCAGATATTAATCAATTAACTGAAAATTTTGAGAACTTGGTGGTCGATGAGAATAATAATGATTTGATTATGATTTCTAACAACAACGATGATTATATTGAAGAGGAACCTATTAAAAATTATCCTGGTAAAAAATTTTTTTTATTAGAAAGTAAATAAAAAATTTTGGCAAAGAAAGAAAAAATTTAATTAAAACACACATCATTTAAATATCATATACATAGATGAATCATTAACATCTGGTGATGAAAGTGAATCCAGAGATTCTAAAAAATCTAACCAAATTGCTGCAAATATACCAAGATCATTATCCAATAGATTACGAACTCCAATTCGTCAAAACTTTAGAATTTCCTCTAAGCTTCAAGTATAAATATATTTTTAATAATAATAATTGATGATCTTTTTCTATTTTTATTTATATTTTTATTTTTTATAAAAAATAATTTATAATGATGGTGACGATGGTAGAATCGAAGAGGAGATGCTATTGGTTCTGCTACAACTGAAAACATGAGTAAACAACAACAAAAACAAAAATCTTCGCAAGCAATAACAGCCAACAATAAACGTGATAATCAACGTGAAAAGTTAAAAGATAATTGGGAAGTTTCGACAGCTGTGACTACTTTTGATGAAATGAAACTTAAACCAGAAATATTGAATGGAATTCGCGAATTAAAGTAATCTTCATTAATTATTATTGTTATTGTTGTTGTTGTTGTTATTATTAATTAATTGTTTTTAATAAAAATATTTTTTCAATAATCATCACCACTACCAACATTACATAGTATTGCAAAACCTACACCTTTGCAACAACGAGGAATAACTGCATTGCTGACACGTAAAGATTGTGTAATTCAAGTTCCACGGTGTGAAGAGCGTGCTTTAACATATTTGACTGCTATCCTTGAACAAATTGAACCCGAGGAAAAAATTTGTCAAGCCGTTGTTATCATTCATCTTAAAGATCTCTGTTATGTTATTCAAGATTTTCTTAGTATCCTTGGAAAAGAATTACAACTTTCTTGCTTCACGTGTGTTGGTGGATTTCCATTAAGAAAAGACATCGAAAGATTAATGAATAGTCCACAAATTATTATTGCTACCCCAGGTAAAAATAAATAATAATTTAGATATAAATGAATTTAATGGATTTAATATAATATGATTTATCGATTAATAATATATATACACACCTACCTGCTTACATCACATAAATTATATTATACAGGCAGATTGATTGATTTAATAAGTCAAAGAAGAATCGATTTTTCGGGAGTGAAAACGGTAGTGGTCGAAGATTCTTGTATCATGTTTAACAGTACATTTCGATCACAAACCTTTGACATAATTTTTCGACTTGCAAGAAGATATGATACTGATGATCGTCAAAGAGTTCAGCGTGTCCTAATGACCACAGCAACAACTTTTACCTTGGCAGACATTAAAAATAGAATTTTACAAGAACCACATATTGTTATTGATGACTCGTCACATATTAAAGATGGGTTGAGATTATATTATTCGATTGTTGATAAAGAAGATCAAAAATTAGATGCACTTTTTGAATTTTTAAAGATGGTTTTAGATTCTTTTAATGTTGATAATTATGATGATAATGATGATAATGACGACGATGAATGTAATGGGGATGATGATGATGATGATGGCAGTGGTAATGATGAAATTAGCGGTGATGACAGTGGTGGAAGTAGTGGTGAAAATGACGACATGGATGATAATAGACAATTATCGTCATCTCCATTACCATCTTCATCAAAAACAACAATGTCTTCATCTAGTGCATCAACGTCGATCATTATATTCTGTGATAATAGCGATCGAGTCAATTGGTTGTTCAATAAATTAGGCAATTTTCACGATAAGTTTAATATTTTTGCTTTGGTAAAATTATTATATGTATTTATATATCTGTTTATAGTCGTATTATTTCAAATAATAATTGATGTTTTTTTATATAATTAGCATTTATCTACAGAACAATTAGAAAGACATGAAATTATCAAATCGTTCTGGAACAAAAAATCGACAAAATCATCAATTACAATTACTTTAGATTGTTTTGCTTCGGTATTGGCCTTTTATCCAGTTAAATATTGTATACAATTTGATTTGCCTTTTAAAAAGGAAAACTATCAAGATAGGTATGATGTATACATTTTTAATTTTTAATTTGGAGAAAAAAACTTTTCATTTTCATTCATTTATTTTTTATTTTACAGAATATGTTGTTGCGGCGGATATGGAGTAAAAGGAATTAATGTTAATATCATTAATAAACAACAAATGTACGATCTTGATACTTTGGAACGTTATTATAAAGTACAAAGTAATAAATTACCTGTAAGTAAATCAATAAATTTATTTTTTGAAAAAGGAAAAAAGGTTTCATTTGTTAACAATCTTTATTTTTGTTTATAGAGTAATGCCGAACCTTTTGGTATCATTTGAACGAATCGACAAAAGAGTTACTCGCAAAAAAATATCATTTTAAATACTTGCTTTTTCTTAATATTAATATAAAGTAATTAATTATGAGTATGTATGTGGTCAGGAAGGCAATTAATTATCTTTTCGATAATATAAATTATTTGCTGAATTAAAATGCAAACGTGAGTTTTCGTGTTTGTTTATTATGTAAGTGTAAGGACCGAAAAATAAGACCGTCTAATTTAGATACATCAAAAAGAGATTAGCCAACACCGTGTCTTGACCGATAAATAACATCACAATGCATAATAATATTTGCAGAAAAAAAAATACGTTTCGGGATATTACTCAAAGAATAGGGTTGTTAACGGCCCGATTCGGTCTGGTCTAGTCCAAAGACCATCAGTCTAATCAAAGGACCGGTCCGAGACCGCGGTCCAGATCGTGGTCCAGACTTAGGGTTTCTATTCGGATAAAACAAATGAACGAATGGAACAAATGAAACAAACAAACGAATGAAACAAATGACTCGAATAAAACAAATGACTCGAATAAAACAGATAAAACAAATAATGAATAAAACCCTGTAAAAATTTACTCCGTGATTAGTCTCAGTGTTTTTTTCCGTTTATATTAATAAATATACATTTTCGTGTTTTTTCCATAATAATAATAATAAATGTATCATATTCACGGAATCTATTACTATAGTTCCGTTTTCATTAAAAATGGAGGTTTCACTGAATAAATCAATTAATAAAATGGATAAAACTCGGATAAATGACTGAGCATTTACTGAATAAATAAATCAATTAATAAAATGGATAAATTTTTGAATAAATTTAATTAATAAATAAATTTTCAAGTGGTCTACTAAAGATGGCTCCTCAATTAATTGAGGCTAGTTGCAGCACATGAAAATTGAATTGCGGTTCCCATCTTTAAATGTTACTAACATGATAAAATGGTAAATTTTTGAAAGATTATGGATTAGTAATGTATATACAACCCTTGTGATTTGACAGCTTTGAGTTAACACCAGCCCATGTTCTGTTTGAAATTTTCCATATCTCTGAACAGAATTGTAATTGATTTGAAAGTAATGTAAGTAGTGTATTTGCTTTATATGCTGCGTTTTCCAAAGATTCACTTACACCATCTCTTTCTGCAACAATATACATATATCTTTTTTTGATATATTCACATTCATGTGTTTAAATGGACTTGCAGTTTATTAACAATTCCATTACTCCATTCACGATTACGTGATTTGCATTCGGCTCCAAAATGTCCCGGGATATCAAACTTATTATTATTACTATTGCTAGTAGTTATATGTTAAAATAATAATTGTGTTTTCCATTAGTATGTTTTAATCAAGTTATATTTAACAAATAAAATGTTTTGTAAGAAAAAAAAAATGCACATTTTATTTGCGAGTTTATAATACTCCAGAACTATAAAATCTTATTCTCGCATTCCGTTTTAACTCCACATTTACAAGTTAATATAAATGACATCATGGAAAAAATCCGGATTGCTTACTTAATTGTGCTGCTTTTATGAAATAAACTGAACATTTACGGAGTGGTAAACATGATCACGGAAATATTCTGGAGTGTCATTTTTTACAGTGAAACAAATGATTCGAATAGAACAGATAAAAAAATAATAATTCGAATAAAACGAATATTTCGAAAAATTTGTATCGGAGGGAATAAGAATTCATAAAAACAATTAATGGATTTTGATTTATATAAAACTGTATACATTCTTTTTTTTTGAATGTATTAATAAATTTGGAATTGGATTATGAGATAATAAAATAATATTTTTAACAAATAAATGAAATAAATACTTTTATGATAAAAAAAATTCAACGGTCCAAACGGTCTTTGATACCTAAGACCAGACCGACTCAGTCCACGGTCCAGATCGCGGTCCAGTCCAATCAATCTAACCGTTAACATCCCTACTGAAGAGGTTTAATTCGGCTCAAAAGTATTTTTTCAAAATTTCCTCTTCAGGCGGTACTTATCCAACGTGTTCCTACACTACCGGTTCCTTGTGTTTTTTGCATATTTTTTAATAAAATAAAAAATTAGCATGTGTGAAACACAATTAGAAGGATAATTGAGAGGAATGGTTCAAGTCGAAAGTAAAGGGGGGAAAGCCATATTTATCCAAAACTCTCAAAAAAAATGTGATTAAAGTTTGGTTAAAAAAAATGATGACTGAACCATAGATGGAATAAAGTAGTATGGTCTGATGAATCCAAATTTCAAATGTTTTGTCAATACTGTTGGAAAAAAAGTTTAATGAATCTTTAAATGATATCATATTAAGTTAATCAATATAAAGTTTATGTGCGCATTAGAAGAACCACCTTCCTTTAATTTAGTTTTTTATGTCATTGAATTCTTTACCGTGTTCTCCCAATTTTTATCAATTTGTTTCTGATTTTTCTAAACCCTTTATCAATTTTTCTAAATTCTTTGTCGTGTTCTTCCAATTTTCTAACTATTTTTCCAATATCATATTGAATGCTGGATTCAAACAAAGTGTTAGTGATTTAATAATTTGGTTAACAAGTGAGCAAGCGATAATTGCTCAAGTTTACTTACAATCGTTAGAGATTTCATATTTAATCCAATAGTATAATTAACACAAACTGCACTATCTAATTCTCCTAATACATCAAGTCAGTAGCATTTTGTTTAAGTCATTCGAGAAATTTCCTAGGGTATTATTAGTATTAGTATGTAATTATTGAAACATTGCACAATTTTATGCAAACATGCGAAAAAAAACAAAATAGTGGTAGTGGAATAATTTCTCTTACAATTGATATGATTGTTATTATCTCTCTTAACGAACCTTCTTTGTTGAATTCTAGGTGTTTTATATATTTTTTTGTAATAAGGACATTATTAGGTTTATAAACATTGGCATGTTTTTTTTTGTGTTTTTTAAAGGAAAATTTGAAAGATATAAGATATTGTCACTAGTAGTGTGTGTGCGTATCCTCCCTATTTTCACTAATCCAATTAATTTTAAATTTCTAGCAATTAATTTATGCGAGATTGATCGAGCCAACATTTTTTGCATATTGTGTACTAGGACTAAATCCAATCTTCAATAGCATCTACAGAAATGAATACCTTCATAAAATTTTCATGTTTTATAATTAACTGAATAATTGGCATCTTGATTGTGTGAAGTGCTATTAGTGGTATTTGTCAAATTTTACATATAAAATTTTTACATGCTATAAAGATAAGATGCAGGCTGCCATGTCATTTTTAAATTCTAATGTTCAAAAAATCGAGTTAGTGCGGCTTTATTATAAATTTCTAACTGAACCTACTACACATCAAGTTACAAAATTTATGATTTTCATATGTGCACATCCAAATAAAAAATTGAGTCAGTCATATACATATATCTTTAAATTATATTGTGTTCAAATAGATTATTATGCTTGGAGCAAGCATTCCAACACAAGAATTTAGACACTGGTTGTCCCTCACCTCTAAGCTTGAGCATCATGTGTTTTATTACTTTCTATATACTGGAAATTAGAAGATTCATAAATAAAAATCTAAGGATATGTATTAATAGAGAAAGTTCTAGGCTAATTCCTTTCATTCAACCATCATCAAGAGTATACATGGATTATTTTCAGCTAACCAATTCACCCCTGCAACTAAAGTTCTATCAAACCAATTGTGATCTTGGTTATTTTGATTATAATCCTTCAAGAAGGTAAGTGATCTAATATTTCTGAACAGTTGAAAGTTCCAGTGATTGATAGATATTCAGAATACATATTAAGATTTGAAGTATGTCTAAGTGATGAATGTAGGTAAATTGAGGATGGGTATTTTCTTTTGGAAAGGGGTATCTGTTGTATTTCTGTTGGAATTGGAGGTAAATGAGGGGGAAATTTCTGGTTGTTTTTTTTTTTTGCAGGCACTACATGTTGCTATTTGATCTTCAGTGGATTTGGATTTACAACAAGTCTCAGATTTGAGTAAGCTTGAGTTAAAAGGCACTTAAAGTTTTCTCTTTATTGAATCCAATTTGTCTTTTGAGGGTAAAGTAATTGACCACAATAAGAACATGGAACATAAAGGTGTTGATACAATATGTAGAAATCAAATTTTTGTTTAATTGATTTAAAATTTTCTGATGCTGTCCACACAGAATTTGTTTGAGACATTTTGAGAAAGGACAGAATTTGTGGTAGTGGTTATATCAATCAATATTGTCTGTAGAAAGGGTGTTAAGTTGAAAAAAAGTTTCAAATGGTCCTAATTCTAAAAATCTGATGCACATGAAAAGACATAATAACAACTCCCAAGAGGTAAAATGATTTCAATTACTTTTGTTAAACACGCACATATATATTTATTTATTAAATCACATCTTTATATTTATTTATATTATGTATCACATTATTTTGTCATAAAAAGAAAGTATAACAACAATTTGAAAAAAAAATATATAAAAATAAAAAATGTTGTTTATTTATCAGCTACACTTTCATCTTGTGGTTGAGTTTTCTTCATTATTATTTAAGTTGTTTATGTTACTCATTGAAATTTGTACTAATTTCAGGATTTTATTATTTGTTGGTACATACTCATTGTCTAGTTCTTTTTGAATTTTTGTTACTACTAGCCCAAGCATAGTTTGTATTTTTTTTTTGATTGGATATTGTAGATGTAGTAGTAGCAATAATTGTTAATTGAGTAGCATGCAAAAGCAACCAGACCTTGTTCTGATAATTCAAGATTGCCAGCAACAAATATCTCACTTCCATGAGTGGTGGAATTTGCTACTTTTATGAGGTTCCCTTCAATCAAGTAAACATAGGTGTTAAAACTCATTGTTTTTGTATTTGAGTCCATGTATTCATTTGCAGCAATTGTGATGTTGATTTTATTTTCTTTGCTGTTTGGGTTAACATGCCATCAAAATCCCAAATGTACAAGTGAATTTGGGCTAGCCTGTCAAAGAATTCCTAAATCCCAAACTATTTTGTACACCCATAACATTCTGTCTCCCAACCAATAAGCGCCTAGGATTTGTGAGAGTGATCAGCTACTTTTTTGTTACACTATATGCTTATTGGTTAGGAAAGCAGGCAGAAAGATTGATCTACATTTGAGATTTGGGATTCTTAATTTGGGCAGCACCCATAGTTTGATTATCTGTCACAGTTACCATTAATGAAATGAAAAAGTCTACCTTAGCAAATTTTGTGGTTCAATTGGTAAAACATTAACATTTGTTAACAATACCTAAACATTATTTTTTTTTAGTTTGCCAACACAATAGTCAAGCATTTATATCACTGTTTGTTCTATATTACAAAAAGTCATCTTGATATAATGTACAGAGCCTTTATTCAAAATTGTGAATTTGCCAGATATCCTAACAACATCACCATTTGAAAACCTTTCCAGTGATGTTGATACTGAAGAATCTTTTGAGTAAAGACCTACCAGTTGGTATGGTACTTCATCATTCATATATGTAGGTCTACCAATTCCAATGGCTTCTACTAAAAAATAATTCTTTACTGGTGATTCTGAATGATCAATTATGTATACTGTAGTACATATGATGTAAATTATTCAGGTAATTAATTATGATGTTGTGAAAAAAACAATTTGAGTTAATATCATTGCTAATGTAACACCTCATGTAGAAATTTTTTTGCTTAGAAACTATTGCTTAACAAAATTCCGAGATAACCTTCCATTAATATTAATATTAAAGTTTAAAAACAATAGTAAATGCAGATCTTTTTTAAATCTTTATCTGTAACATTGTTTCAGTTATATACATTTGTTTTTCTTAATATGAAATATTTGGATTGCATAAATTAAAATATAAATATCTTGTCATATTAGATAAAGCTGTTATACAATTAATAAAATGACAATAGCACTAGCACCACCACCACCACCATTACAAACTGATGCGCAGCCAATTTTCCATCTTTATCTTTCAACACACTGGTTAAAGTTGCAATAATTCTAGCCCCTGAACAACCCAAGGATGACTCATTGCAACTGCACCACCAAAAATATTGACTTTTTCTTTATCTAGTGGAAGCAATTTTAAATTTGCTAAAGCAATAACAGAAAATGCTTCATTAATCTCCAAATAATCAATATCTGAAAGTGATTTTTTTGCATGAGATAAATCTTTTGGTATGGCTACAGATGGTGATGTTGTAAATTTTGCTGGTGCCTATACAACAATTTTTAATTAAATAATCATAATTTATATAAATAAATAAACATCCACCAACTAAATATAAATTTACCTGAGCATCACTCCAACTTAAAATTTTTGCAACAACTTTAATACCCAACTCTTTAGCTTTCTCTCCACTAATTAGAATAATAGCTGTTGCACCATCACTTAATGGCGAAGAATTGGGACCTGTCACACTACCATTATCAATGAATGCTGGCTTCATAGCACGCAGTTTATCAACATTTAACTATTATTATATTTACAAGATATATTTAAATGATTAGCATGTGTTACTGGGATTTTTTATTTTAAAAAAATTTAAAACTAGCTTACATTATTAACTTCATTATCTTGTGTAATTATTTTATCAGGCTTACCTCTACCACCAGATACTTTATTGGAACAATTTCATCCGAACATTTATTTTCTGCAAATGCTTTTTGTGCACATTTATATGAATAAATAGCATAATCATTCTAAAAATTATAATCATTCTAAACAATAAATTGAAAATGATTTTTAATGCAATAAATATAACTATCATTATTTACTTGTTCTTCATGAGTAATATTATAATCTTCAGCAGCAATGCCCATAAGATAACTATTATGGACATCTGTTAAGCCATCTTTTACAATACCATCAACAAGTGTTTGATCCCCATATTTAGAACCAAATCTTGTTTTTGTGGCATAATAAGGTGTGTTTGACATAGATTCTGTACCACCAGCAACCAATAATCTATCATATTATATGTATATATAATTGAGTAAAATCTAGATACAGAATTTATTAAATGTTATATTCAATAATTAACTTACATCAGCATTTCCAGTGATGATGGTTTGGGCACCTAAAATTACAGATTTCATACCTGATGCACACACTTTATTAACTGTTGTGGCAATCACTGTCTGGGATACCTGCACCTAAAGCTACTTGGCATGCTGGATTCTAACCTAGTAATATATTATTTGTAAAATATTTATTAGACTTTTTTATTTAAAATCATAGATATTAGTAAATTATATGCATGCAGTGCAGTCAGTACCAAGGTTAGCAGAAAGAACACTTCCAAAAAAGACTTCTTTAACAAGCTCAGGACTAATGTTAGCTTTTTTTTAAGACAGCTGGTAAATAATTAAAAAAAACTGTTAAAAGTTATTGTTAATAAAATCAATTATATTATGCTGACAATTACTAATTGTCCATTTTTAACCTTCAACAGCAATGGAGCCAAGTTTTATTGCTGTAAAAGAAGTTAATAATCCATTAAAACCACCAAGAGGAGTTCTTGCAAAAGCAGCTATATAAACATCTATTGTGTTATAAGTAAAAAAAATTAACACTAAAATAAATTTTTAATTTCTGCTAAAAATATTATAAATTTTTTTTAACCTTTTTGAAGAATCATTATTTTTTTTAATATATATCAGAAAAGTCGCGAGGATTATTTTGTAGAAGTTACACGAGTATCTTATTTCTGCAAAAAGAGCACCAGTGTCCTGTATATATTATTGGGGTTGGTCACAATGGTTGATCATCAAACATAGTTCAGGTCAATATAGAAATTTATTATATGCGGATTTTTT